AGTGCTAAGCTAAAGTGACCTGGAATTTTGTCCCGCTAATCATAACTAAAAAAATCCTCAAAATTATTCCAAGTTCATTATTAACAAGTCAAGGGTTACACTGTGCACTGAAAAACTACCGCGTGGCGCAAACTTTATTATATTGCTAATGCATATTGTAGTTACAGACGGTAGCTTGGCTCATGCAAGAAACGAAATTAAGCGTAAGTACAGGGCCCAAATTTTTCTGAACAAGGAGCACAGTGGTACAGCAATGAATAACCTTTTGCTTGAGGCTGACAAGATTTTCATGATCCAAATCCCTTTCCAAAAACTCCGACAGCTGCTCAGTGGCGTGCTCCAAATCTCGCTGATTGTCCTCAAATATTACCGACTGATTATTCTTTTCCAGATAAAAAGCAAATGCATAAGTATACATCAGCGTGCGACGGCACTCCGACAACACGTCGACCGCTTTGCGTAGAAACTGCACTTCAATCCACGACATATTTGCTTGCTGCATCGCTTCCATTTTTGATTTTACTGCTGCATAAAGCTGAAAAAAAAAAAAAAGAAACTGAGCATGGCGTTACTAACAAACAAAAACAGAAATAGGAATGAAACAGTAACAACAATAAATAAATAATAGCAGTTATAATGACAGTATAAAATATACACTAGCATTGCAGCACAAAGCGATAAAAATTAGCGGGTCCAGGAAATATTTTAAAAGAAGAAATCCCCAACATGAAAAAGAGTCCTGCTCCCCCTCCTGTCATTCCTTTTCTTACTTTCCTGGAAACAGACAATGCAAAGCGGTTAGTAAGCTGCTCCTTCTCAGCAACCCGATATGCCTTCGCTCCATCGCAGCATTATCACATCTTTGCACCATCAAACCAGTCAGCACTCCTTCCACAATTAATATTGCCGACAAAGAATTTGAATTTAAACAAGAAGATCGCAGGGAACTTACTTTGTGCTCCAGCTTCAAGCTTTGTTGATGATTCATGTATCGATTGTAATAATGCAAATATCTTTGAAGTGCAGCTCGGCTTCGCTCTTGCGCATCACGTGCTTGCTTGGCAAGTGTGTCATCGTAGCGATTACAGGAGTACCAAGAACTGCCGTGTGGTTCCCACGGTCCAAGACACATCCAGCAGAACTCCATTTTACAAGACGTATTTTTACATGTCATATGATTGCATCCGCCATCTTTCTCTATTGTTACCTGCAACATTCATTTCAGCAGCTGCCTAGAAAAAAATGGTCTTTCTAACAACCAATTCAATGCTTTCCTTCGCTTTTTTGAGAGGACTGAAGGCAAACTAAGGCCAATGGCCAGTTCAGTTTCTTACGCACTCTGTACTGACAGGCTTGAGTAATGACACGCAACGATGATCTCTTGCTGAAAGTCCAGGACTGAACTCCTGAATTCCAC